TGTACCAGTCGAGGGATGTAGGAAGGGGTAAAGGTTGTTGAGAGGCTGTAATTGGAGATGGACATGGATAAAGAGAGGGATGTAGGAGATTGAACGATCAATGTCCTCTGGAGAGTTTGCCCACTCTCCTAGAGGTCTGACAATTCAGTGAGGCATACCCTGCACTCTAGCAGAAAAAAAAATCATCTTTAAAGGGATGTCTCATGCACCAAGGAACACCACTTGTAGTTGATATTGGGGCATCATTAGTTGAAGTCTGTCTCCGTAGAGGTCCATTAGGCAACCCCGTAGTGAAAGGGTTCTTCCTGCTGCAGATGTAGAGAACACCCTGTCACCAATATTTACCAACTGGGTAATAAAGGGACATGTTTGCAATAAAAGAACCCTTGGGGTGCAAGAATTGTCCTTTTATGAAAAGTTGAGTTCTAGGAGTGAAAGAATTGCCCCCTTTGTGAAAAGTGAGGTTCTGTGTATACAGTAGTTAGCGCCTTTGTGTCATCTTGCTCTTTTGTCCAACATATCTGCTTAGTTTGCAGCCAGCACCTCCAAAGGTTGGAAGGATTTCACAAGTATATTCACCGATAACCCGACAACATTAGATTCAGTTGATGACACACCTACAGCAGAGTCACTACTCATGCCCGGCAAAGAGGCAAGTGAGAAGAGAGAAAGGTTAAGGTAAGAATTTGCCGTCTGAGGTTGGAGGCAGGTTGTAAAATAGAATTTGTGCACTTCATGTACAAACTTTGAAATTTATGCTGTGTATTTAACATGAATGATGGGACATCCTGAATTCCAAAATATGTAAACAAGATGATGATAGGCAGTAAACAAGCTGTCTTTTTTGTGATTAACCCCTTCATACCGGGATTCTTTTGACCGTGACTGCTGGATTGCAGTATGCAAAGCCCTGTCCAGCAGCAAGCCCCATTGAACCAGCAGCTGCATGGTGAATAGACTGTACGTATGGTATGCACTAATCCTTACACAGAGCCGCGGCTGTGGACTCCTCCTGGTATGAAGGCGTTTATAATAATTAGCTGTGCAAATGTAACTTAGAAAGTCATGCATTTTGGATGGACAATAACAAAACGAAGAATTTTCCAATTTGCTTAAGTACATGTGCTCATTGGTAAGGAGAGTATTTGTACATGTACTTGAACGTTTATGCAAAAGTCTGGCTGAAAGACATGAACCGTCAAAAATGCACTTTGAGTTCCAGTTGTTGTCATGGTGATGCCATTATCTACTGAGCTTAATATTAAAGGTGTTTTATGTCGATCAACAGGAACACAACTGCATGTGTGCTCATCATTATTATAACACAATGCAGATTGAAACAAGTTTAGAGAAATTGTAATGATGTCATCTGCTAGTAGTGTGACGTGACTTGCTGTATTAATAGAAACATTTACAGAGTGCAAAAAAACTGTTCTGATTACTAAAAAAGACATAAAATCTTATAAATGGAAGTGAAAAGGATTTAGCATTGATGGGGAGATTGAATCAGGAAATAAGTCAAGAACACTACAGAGAGGGATCAAGATGTGAGAGAAAAATTCTTCTTAGGACATCTCCTTTGCCCCTGTAGCACATGTACATGATGTACCGTACGTGGCACATGAGACACAAAGGATGAAAAATAACGGAAATGCCTGCAACATGAACCAGTGTAATTGACCAGGAAAGATACGTTTGTGTATTTCAATCATTATAATTAGATTGTGTCAGCATAGGCAATGCTGACGAGGTTCTTTGTCATGCAGTCTATGCAGAGTTGTCAAGGCTCGAGACAAATGACTCAACTCGAGTCTGACTCGAGTCACAATTTTTTGGTAACTCAACTCGATTCCTTGAGTCTCTGTGATCAAACAGCTCGACTGGAATCTCTCATGGAGACTCGACTCGAGTACAATCTTATAAGACTTGATTATCAAAAAATTTAAAGCAAAATGGTTTTGGCCAAAAAAATATTTGAAGTTGCACTTATGCACTGCTCCTATATTGATCATATTTATTATATTTTGTTCAAAGGTTGTCACTCAAATTGACACAAGCTCAGCACTTGACTCAATTACACAAAGTAACTCAACTTGACTCAATTTCTTGACCTAGTGACTCAACTCGACTCAAGTCACAATGTTAAAATGGCTCAAATCATATCACAAATTGAGTGACTTATTACAAGACTGAGTCCGTGTAGACTGATGCAGTTATTACTGCTGAGCCAACTTTGGTTGGTATTTACTCTTTGGAAAACAGAAATGAGGGAAAGTATTGAGCTGAAGGACCCTTTCTTTCTCAGTTGGACTGTTTGGAGTGGCATTAGGGTTATTTCTTTCTGAATTTTTACAAATCCAGAAATTCTATGGACTAGGCCATACAATAGCCTGAAAAAAGCTTTGTTGAGGAAAAAAACTCATCTGATTCTAGCTCAATCTCTAGCTTTCTTATGATCACTTTTGATGTCCACTTTCTTCTTCTGCCGGCTTTAAGTCTGCTGGTTTCCTTTAATGGTAGGCCTACTATATTGCATCTTGTCATTTGGAAAAAAAACCAAAAAAAACGGTTGCGTGTTTCATCCTTACTCTGGATCTTCTTGGCATGTGTTGTTTTGAACTTCAGAAGTTAGAAAAATATGCTATTGAAGCGTTGATTTTTTCTCCATGCCTGTGGGAGTTTTACTCAGCAAGAGTCTTATACAAACATTGCCCAGTATTTTAGACTGACAAAGAATTCCGTTTACCTGAGCAGGTCGGTATTTTCTTCCTTGTTTCTCCAAGACAAAAAGAATTCAAAAGGTTTCTATTTTTATTCGAATTGCATTTTTGTACCTGTCAGTTCAAAATTGATGACTTGTACATGTATGTTGGTTTTGAAATTTCTGACTTTCTATCATGGCAAAGTTGATATTTAATTGAAGAAACGAAGCTTGCCATATGGTAACAATGATCATACTGAACTTTGAAACTCAAGTTTATCATGCAGACACCCAGCAGACATATTTAATATATTCTGTGAAATTAACGAGATTTGTGATGCATCACTGCTGTTGATGGCTGGACATGTTGTGCCTTACATGTACACGAACGTTTACAAATTTCCTGTGTCCAGTGGATATCGTGGTTTACAGGTCATCTGTTATTAATGTGCTAGGGAATTTGAAGGCCATCAACTAAAAACAGTTCTTTTATGCTTGGAAACGCCGTTGTGAACGCAGAGAAGTGACAGTTAACATCTTCAGTTCTCGTTCATTTCTATTCGCTATTAATGGCTTTCGGACAAAATGTGTAAAACATGAACATGTACAAGTTGGCCTTTGCTGTCTGGCATGTCTGGGTGTTGCATTATTAATGTCCCTAGTTTTTCTCTCTCATTTTTTTTTCAAATTGAAGCCCTTCATTTGTAACCTTATATTTTTAAAACAGAAAATGATCCCCTGGTCTTTTATACATAACCTGGATAAAAATATCTCCCTCAGTAATGAGGATTGGACTAAAATCACATTGGGTTCTCAAATCCTTGAGTTTGAATTATTCAAGAGGCATATGGAAGGCATTATTCAAGAACTTATAAAATAACTCCCACCTGTCTCATGATGTACATGTAAGGTCCATGGATTATACGTCTTGTGAATTAACTAGATCACTGCATGTCCTTGCATTTTTTAACATGGGGACTAAAATAATTTCCGAAAAACTTTTTAAAAAATGTTCAGGAAAGCTGACGCTGTTTTTGCAACTTTCCAAATTACTGGTATTTGCAGGATTGTGTATTTTTTTTAAACAGAATGGTTGAAATTAAAGATAGACCTCAGACATGTATATTCAGAGTCATGAACCATTACGGACCGCCAATGCATTGAAAACAGATCACATCATTTGGCTGACAGCTACACGTACCGTAGTAACTGGTATTTTTAAAACAATGCTAAAAAGTCACATTGTTGGTTTCCAGAAATTCATGTATGTATGCCAGGCCAGCTGTTGTGTTTACGTAAGTTACAGGGTCGTTAAAAAACGAAGATATTCAACATTAAGACATGTAATTTTTTGGACTTTGGACCTAATGACACGAATGCTTGGTGATACATTGGTAGCTGTGTTCAGTAACAAGGGATAGACCCATATGTAGGATTATTAAAAGCACTCGGTAATTTTTGAGAGAGCTTTGTTGACTAAAACACAAAATGGAAGTAGTGACTTTATCATTTATTAATGGCATGCAATGAAACGTAAGTCGATGCACACGACGTACGTGGACATACATGATGTACAGGTGTATGGGCTTTGGGGGTTACATATTCTGTTTTATTTGTTGATTGGTTTCAGGAGCGAATCATTTGTGTAGAAGACGGTGGACTGATTTTTTGTCAGTTTTTTTTGTGTGTGTGTGCATACTGTCCTCTCACAATTTTATTGCATGTTACTTAAAATGTCTTTATAAGTAGACTCTTCTACATCTTCATATTTCAGGGTTTTTGTTTTGTTTTCTGTTTCTATTTCAGTTTATCTGAGATGTATTTGTAGGATTTTTCTCAGCAGAATGATTGCAGATATTCATATTATAATGCAGCTCTTTGTTTGTCTGATATACCACATTATTTGTTGTAAAAATAACTTGAAGTAAAAACTTGTTGGCATGACTAACTTACCAGCCATTTATTGCTGTGGAGACTCGGAGGTCCTGACTTGATGTGATTGGGGAAATTTAACACCACATTTTCAGAAACATCAACATGTATGCCTTCGATTCAATTCCATTTTCTAATCTTGATTTCCCATGGCATATTTAACTCGCCAACTCAAAGGGGTTATAGTTTCACCATTAATTCCCTCAGAAACTCAGAAACTGCCTTGGTTTGTCGACAGAATGTCTAACAAAACTTAGTCTAATAACATCAAGCAGATTCATTGTCATTCTATCTGGTAATGTACACTGTGTATGGTATGTAGTCAGGCGTCCCAGGTTGATTAAAAAATGGCAGGGTGATTTTGAGACACCCAAAGGATTTCTTTGTATGATCGGTTGCGCACATACTGAAATGGTTCCTCTTCGGACAATTGGTCTCCTGTAATGAAGGATGCCTGGTTACATATCTGTCACATAGTAACAGAAAATATTGTAGCAATTAGCGTAATGCTTACCCCTGCTTGTCATGTGTCAAGGAAATGGAAAATTCCACAGTGCTGTGTGGTGCAAACAGGAAATTAGTTGTTTCAGCTGTTAAGAAATTAATCAATGAAATGGGTCATCTCATTGGAGACCGGTAATGAACAGCTCTGTGGAATTTTCTTTTCACCAATGAGTACATTGATCACTTCATAGTCATCCTAACATATAGCTGTATTATCTCCCCCCCCTCCCGTCCACCCCTCCTGGCTCCTCCCCTCCCTTATTTCTGTGGTCTTGTACCCCTTTCATCTTACCCTCTTTATTAACCTTTTTTGTGGACTGCACACTAAATTGTCACTGACCAACACCTTGAAAAAACATTGGAACTGGTGATTTCATGGCCTTTTTCATATTGTCACTGTTCTGCTTGTTCTGTTGTTGCATTCCTTGTCTTCTGTGCAATTTTTTTTCCTTTTTTTATGTTTCAAACTTTGCATCTTGCTTTATCATTTCTGTTTCACTTCCTTCTTTGGTTTGTACTTTTTCCCTTTGGCATCTTTATTTACCTTTTTCCCCATCTTTCTTTCCTACCATGCCTTTCATTTTTTTTGTTTTTGTATTTTTTCCTTTTTCTGTGATGTTTTCCTTTTCCGTTTTTCTTACACCCTTTCAACTGAACTCTCCACTCATTTTCTTTTCATTTTCCATCAACATTCTCTCTAACCTTCATCACACTTTGCCTACCCTCTGTCATCATTGATTGTACATTTTCTACACCTTTCATGACCCTGTCTTCCATCTTGTTATCTCCATCTTTTATACTTCCTCATTTTACTCACTTTGTAACCCTGCCCCCCTTACTATACATTACTCACATCATACATGCATTTCACCCTCATATCTTCACCCACCTGCATCCCTCTCTGCCTCACTTCCACCCCTCAGACAAATGGATCCAGATCAAAGTGACACTCCTTTACTTCACGATGCACCCACACCTCCCAGGACACCAGATGAGACTGAAGATACCAACTGGGGGTGGGGCAACACTGACACTTGGGAGGACACACCCCAGATCCAACCTAGTCAGCCAAAAGTGGAAGAAAGTGACAGTTGGGATTCCTGGGCCAATGAGCAGGATGATTTGCTGCTGGATTTTGGTGACTCGTGAGTATCCAAAAATACTCAGTATCAGTCTCTTGTAAAAACTGAGTCTAAGAGCAAAAATTAGAATGACCCAAAATGCGAATGATAACCTGCCATTATGCTTTCCTTTCTCAAGGGCATTAACTTCTAAGAAAGCAAACAATGGAACAAGAAAAAATGGCTCCAAGAAGTCATCGAGCTCCAAGAAGGTGACTTCCCTGGAAGAGACTTGGGATGATGCTGGAGGATGGGATGAAGCTGCGTGGGAAGCCATCGAGAGTGACATCAAGACAAGTAAGAAGAACTCCTCATCCTCCAGAAGAAATAACAGCAAAAAAGACTGATGAGGTACAACAAAGGAACATCATTGACTGCAAGGTGCTTGATGAGCCCTAGTGTAATTATCATCCTACTAGACCAGTGGTTCTTCTCTCCATACTGCCTTATCATAGATGGTGACAAGTAAGACCCTTTGTTGTGGGATGAATCTTTGAAAATTAATCCCAAAATTCTTAGTATCCTGTTTTGTGCGTCCAATCCAACCTTAAGCGTTCTCTTGATGTGTAGTGCCCAGATCATTGGATCTGACCGAAGAATTGTCACTTGATAAAGAGCAAAGTGGTGGTTTATGTGTGGATGTGTGACTTACCCTAATAATAGATTATTGAACATGCCCAAGTAAACCACACTATCCCAAAAAGCTTGGAATTTTGTTTTTGCACAAAGTTGATGTGATGATGGTAGGAATAATGTGATGTAGTATTAAATTGACAAACCTTCACCCTAAACTCTGTGCTCTCCCCCTCCCCCAAAAAGAAGTGACATAGAACAAAAAGTGAAAGTAATTCGAGAGTTTTTTATTTCTTGCATGTGTGCTTACTACGAAAAATGCCAACAGTGGAGTGGGTTTCAAAGAACCTTGAAATATGTTAATGGAAAGTTTAAAATTCAGAATTTATTTAGGGGGACGGGTGTTTGCAAACGCAGCTTTGAGAGACATTTAATGTGACAAAATGAATTGGAAGTCATCAGAGACACTTTTGAAACAGAGGCTTAGAAAAGAATGGAAATCAAAATTTTTATTCACATCAGCTCTTATCTCCTCAGGACGCCAGACTGCATGCTCCTAGTCCATCAAAAGAAAGAACTTAGTTTGTTCTTTCTGATCCACTTTAGAGCAAAATGACAGGAAAAATGGCCTCAAGACACCTTCTGTAGACTGTCACAAATGTGCTTTCTCTTATTCCCTCATCGGCAAGGCAAGGAAAAAGGTTTCATGTCATTTGCAGACAGATTACTGTCAGAGTGCATCATGCGTCAGTGCGACTTGATGTTGTCATGACAACCAATGCTGTATTCTTGAGTCAACCTGTCTGCATCACAGGTCTTCTTTTTTGTCGAACGAAATGATGTTCCCTTTGTTATATGCTAGCTACATGTACTGTAATGTTACATGTACCTTAATGTTACAGTAAAAAGCCTGCCATTAATTTATCGTCCTTCAAAAAAATTTAAAAAACAATTCTCTGAAAACAGGGATTGTTGAAATGAGTACACTTTCCCATGTGCTTCATTTAAAAATAAAGAAAAGGTGGGGAAAAAAGTCAGGATCTGTTCTCTCTAAATTCAGCACTTGTCTTTCTAATGCAGTCATACAGTTACAAAAACAGAAGCTGCAATTGAGTTCTGGGTATTTCTTACCAAAGAAGGGCCAAAACAATGTGTTTTTCCCCTCAAAAACCTGAAATAATCTTTCCCTTGATATCCTTCAGTATCCATTTTTAGTCGGTTGTCATGGAAATGTTTCAGACGAAGGTATGTACAGGCCCTTGTGGAAGGCCTACTTTGGTGACGTACATGTACTGTATATTAGTCAAAATGTCAAAACATGAACACCTGTTATTGATCATGAATAATGATCTTGGACCGGCAACATGTACTCTATTTAAGTCTTGGTTCAGGAAATGCACTAGGATTTCCATTTCAAGCTGTTACTCTCTGATAAAATTATGAAAATCTATTATTTAATGAGCCAACAGAACTTGAACAAACAGTTGAAAGGGTGCAGGACAGGACTTTCTTAGTTTCGTCTTGCTAAGTTAAATTCAGCTGTGTACCAGCTAAGAGCTGTTCACGTTATATGGCTCTTAGGCTGGTAACCCTCTTCAGCTCAGTGGGGTTCTTGAGCTTAGTCAATTTGTGTACAAAGGATACCTTTGGTGTAATTTCATTGAGCAGTTCTGTGTGGAAATAAGAGGAATTTTTAATTGTACCAATAGCAGTATATTTTTTAAAATGGAACTTTGATTTGCCATTCCCAGCTCAAGCTCTTGACAAATGAAACTCTTTTTAACACCTTTGCACAAGTTTAAAGTAATTTCCCTTTGTGTTGTCGTTACTGAGTAATGAGTGCATTTTGTGAGTTTACTGTCTTGTACTTTCTGTCTTTATCTCAGCACTAAACATCTGCTACAAAAGACATTTCAAAGATGTGAGGTTTTAAACAATTGGTCCAATTTAGGTTTTTAACAAGATTTCAAAAATAACAGATTATGGAAGGGCAATAAGGCATTATGTCATATTTGGACGGACTTTCCTACTCTAGCGACCAGTTATCTACTTGTCCATTGTAAGGGCGGAACGTTTACACGTTTAACCAAAACAGTTCCAAAGCCATTTACAGATTTTCCCAAACATTTAACAAAAACTGCCCTTGTTTAGAGGTTTTACGTTTTGATTGAGATAATCTGGCATTTTTTTTTTTTAAACGATGCCTGTAAAATGTAAATGTTTTTCAAATTGAAAATAAATCTCCACCCTCATTTGGAAGCATATAAAATGATGCATACAACCCCTGGAATTGTTTGAAATGATGCATACAACCCCTGGAATTGTTTTAAATGATGCATACAACCCCTGTAATTGTTTTAAAGTACATGTTGTTTTATTAGCATATTTGAATGCAAACCTACCGTTTGTGTTCTGTGTTTTAACTTTATTATTTTAGACTTGATGGGCAGAATGACACACCAGGAGTATAAATGTCCCTTTTCATTGTTTTAATACCACTGTGGAAAGTAGCAACTGATTACCCTTAATTCTTTTGAGAGTCAACCAGTCACTGGTTGTGGTCAAAGTTTCTTGTAGTGGGCACGTGCAAATCTGCCCTTGGAGGTCATCAAATGTTGGAAACATTCCATGAGAAAAGAAATCAGTCCAAAGTTAAGCAAATGTAACTGTTAAGTGGGAGTTTGATAAATGGTGTTGTGTTGGGAGTTGAAGGACTGTTAGATACGCTTGATAAAGGTGCTTCAAAAGCTTTGAAATCTAAGGGCTATTACTGGCAAGACTCAGTTAGTGGCAGTATGGGAAGCTATCGTTATTTACAGAAAGAAAAGGACCCACCCCCCCAAAAAAAACTCTGGAGATAAATATCTGTTTTCAAGGACACTGTCAGAAATTTAGCAAATTTGCCCAATTTTATCAAGTTTAAGAATGTTTGAATGATTTGTGGACTTGTAGATTTGTAGATTATTTTCTGGAAATCTTTTTTAGGGGAAGGATGCTGGATAATTGATAAAAAAGTGTTTGCTTTCTTTTGGCTGAATTAGGAGGAAAAACTAGCTTCAGCTTCCTGGCCAGGCTTCTTTCAGATGCAGGGCAGAGACACAGCTTAGGTTCACCCCTGCACAACCCCAAACAGCACAAAGTGAACTGTGAAGCTAGCCCCGTAACTATCGCATTCCTTCAAACTTTTTTGCCTCCTCTCTGCATTGTAATTTTGTCTTTAATTGTATTTAGTCTTTTGGTCAGGACATTACATGTAAGTGAGGCTCTTTGAACATGAATACTGCTGTATTGTTTGCCAACAGCTACAAAGGTCAATTGTTAAAAATGGTCAAATGGTCAATTGTTAATAAGATACTGTATTTAAATCAAAGATGAGAATGAAAAAGTAACTAAATTATCTTATATCAACGAAGCCATTCCTCACCTGCAGAAAGGTGTCAGTCTTCTTACTGGTTGATAAAACCAGCAATTTGTTGGTTTGCCGTCAAGGATCAAGGTCATTTTGATATTCACTTTGACGAGCCATGGGCTGGTTAAAACCAAACAGCGATGAAGAAAAGAAAGCACACAACTGTTTTATTTTAAAACAGCGTAATAAAGAAGAGTATTGAATTGTAACAAAGTTCTCTCATTTTTGATTGTATGGATTTGTTTTTGACCATTATGAAAAAATACACGGCTTACTCCGCACCCATTTCAATTTTCAGCAAACATTTAAAATAAAATGCAAGGTTAACCTTTTTGAATATTCAGCAAAAATAAAATTTTCCCCATTTTAATAAAAATGTGAAACTAAAACCTTGCCCTTTTGAATAAAAAAAAGGCTAACCCCTTAACATCTTGAATTTTCAGCAAAAATTCAGTTTTGCTCATTTTGAAAAGAAATATACAAGGCTTCCCCTTGCCATTTAAATTTTGAGCAAAAATTCCTCGGCCCTTTTTCATAGAAATTGCAAGGCTGGCCCTTTACCATTTTCAATTTTCAGCAAAACAAACCATTTTTGTCCATTTTAAATAAAATAAAAGGCTTACCCCTTACCATTTTCATTTTTTAGCAAAAATTCATTTTCGCTCAGTTTAAATAAAAATGCAAGGCTTACCCCCTACCC